GACCTTTTTTACATTTTGATTGATATGTAAATATTTTTGTCATAGGTTTGCATCTTTTGATGCATGTGCATGTATTAATACATACTTTTTATTTCAAAAAAAGAGAGTGTGGCCTGAGATCCAAGAATTAAGTGTGTAAAAAAAATCTCTAGCTCTATTATGAGGGTTTTCACCCTCCTAAAAGATCCATTGTTTTTTTTTCTTTTGCTGTTGAGCCTCTAGACTTGGCTATCACGATCTTAACCCTCACAAAGCATAGGGCTATTCCCTAATTGTCTAGTCCAAGGGCACTGCTCTATAGGTGTATTTGGATCTAGAAAAGACTTACAAGTTGCTCTTCCCCCTTCCTGTATTTTATTTAGTAAATTTAAATTACTTGGTTATCACATATTAAATGTTAATTTTTGAAGATAAATATAGTAAAGTAATGACAAACTCTTAAGTTAAAAGCAACAAATTTAAGTCTACAAAGTTCGATTGCTTTAGATTTTACCAGTCACTATTATATTTTTAATAAAAATTTAATCAGACTCTTGCTTGACTGTTCCCTTCTGCTGCAATATTGGTACCGGGCTCACACTGCAGATGTTTGCCAAATGCAGGGCTCTAATTTCCTAAAAAAAATGAAAACATCCTTAAAAGGTATAGGAACTTAAATCCTTTTCCAGACACTTAGAATCCAATATAATATAACAACTTGTACTTCATTCTGTTCAGCAACATGTACTGAGTTATATTTGAAAAGGAGAAAAGTCACTTTCCTTCTTCCTTAAAATTTTAATGTTCTCAATGTCGGGTGTTATCATGATATCTGTAGCTATTAAGGATCCTTTTTATTTTTTATTTTTTTTGAAAAAATCACATTCATTTAATTGTAGAAAGTAATGCATTATTTTGGTTATGAAGACTAACATTTAGAAATATGTTCATCTTTCATCGTGGTTATGCATGTTAAAGAAAGAGTTTTTATGTAGTTAGTTGGGTTTGTACTCTTTTTAACTATTTAAATTTAAGTTTATTATTGAATGATCTGTGATGAGATTGTACTATTATACTCGAATAAGAACTTCTTGGTTTGCCTTTGGGTTAATAATTATTCTGGTATCTTACTGTAGACTATATGTGGATACAATGGATACAACTATCTGGACTGAAAGCCTGCATTTTTCTTTTTTTATGGCTGCAGCATCTAAAATCTTCTCTTTCCCTTTCTCACTCACTGATGTAACTGAAAAGGCCATCGCTGTAGAGCTGGGTGGATTTGGCAGGAGATATCCAATGATATCATAATTGTTGGAAAATTGCTTAATCTTCTGTCTTAATATTGGAAAATTAATCCTTCTAATTTAAGAAATCACTTATGTGAAAATTTGATTTCCTTTATTGTCATTTTTTTAAAATAAACATTAGGTATGGATTCATCCTCACGCACTAAGGAGCTGTATACTTATGTACAAAAATATTTACATACCAATCAAAATGTCAATAAACTATCTAAAGTCCTCAAAAATAATAAAGAAAATGATCCTTAATAAAAAATTTAAGATCTAGAACCAACTACCTTAACCTTATCAAAATTGATATCTATATCCTCATAAGTCCTCCTATTCCTTTCCCTCCATACCATCCAAAAAATAGTGAGGGGAATAAGGCTTACATGTCTCATCTCACCTTTGATCCATTTTTACGCCCAAATTTCTTCTCTCACTGGACCAATCATCACCCAATTAATACCCAATAGACCATAAGCAAGTCTCCAAAGTCTACATGCAAAGGAGCACCAAAATAGTAGATGGTTACATGACTCTGCATCCCTTCTGCACATATAATTGTCATTAGTTTCTTATTTCAAAAAGAAAAAATAATTGTCATTAGTTTCCTATTTATCTCTTTGTAACTGCTACCTATACCCATGTTTACGCTTATTCTCAATATACAAGAAATTCAATTTTTCTCTACACTCCAAATGATATCAGCACTCTAGGTTCTTTTATGAATTTTTCTCAATATTAAGAAAGTAAAAATAACAGAGTTTGCAGCCTTATTTTGCTGAAGCCTTTCCAGCATATGTACATCCTAGCAGTAATTAGTTTTCTATTTTTTGCTTTGTGACAGTTGTATATTCCCGTGTATATTCTTGTTCTCAAAATAAGAAATTTAGTTTCTCTCTAAATTCCACAATAATATTTTGTGTTTCATGAAAAAAATGCAGTTTTAGTTTAAAGAATTACAATGTGTTTAAGGGACTAGGAAAATATCCTGTCAGGATAGTTTAATATAAAGAGTTACCATGTGTTTAGGACTTAAAGAGACTAGGAAAACATTCTGCAGGGATGGTTTTTTTGTATGAAGGGTATGGATCATACTTATGATTAACCATTTAGCATAAAGCAGCAATATGAAGCTTTTTGCTAGAATATTTGATGGTTTCCTTTTATTTTTGCTAGCTATTATTGATACAGCTATTATGATCAAGGATTTGTTGATTGTATTCAGGGACTGTACTAGTACAGTGGTTGATAGAGCTGCTTGACAGTTCTGCCTTTATTGCATTGGCAGGAACGCAAGGTGATGAGTCCATTGGAGATTCATTCCTTTGTCAACTCACTTGGATACACATTCTCATTTATAGAGGTATGTTCTAATCATAAATTAATATTCTTCACTACATTTTATCCCTAAAAAGGAAGCTTCACTGCATTTTAGATCATTGTTTCATTTTGCATGGTGCATGGCATGTTATATTATTAAAATGTTTATCCTGCAAAAATGTTTATCCTGATACTATTAGACATTTCATTAGATGAGGCATGTGCACTTCATGCTTCAGGCTATTTCTCTGTGGGCATGAAGGCCTTATTTTATGAGAAATTAACCCAAAAAAAAAGTCTTGTAAACTTGATCCAAATAACATTTTGGCCATTTTTTAGAAAAAAAGGTCCATCTTTTAAAAGAATAGAAGAGTAGTTTGTAGTCTTGTTACTTAGTGTAACACTCTTTCTTTTGGTGCCACTATATTTTGTCCCTCAAATGCAACATCTAACAGAACTGCAGCTTCATCCCTTATTTTAATGTATGACTATTGGGATATATCTCTGGACATATTTTCAAAACAACTTTTAGTATAACTTCCATCGTGATAAAAGTGTGATAACGAGGCTTTTGAGGGAATTGAAAATACGTTTGTAAATATTTGGGATAGATGGCTGCATCGTTTTGACTCCATTCTTTTGGGTCATAACTTATTATCTTTTGATGATATTGGAGCTATTGTCGATATGCTTATTGATATGTAAAGTCTTTTTGTAAATGGGCGGTACTTCTTGGTACCTTTTTCTAATACATTTTCTAACTTTTATTTTAAAAAAAAAAAAAAGCTGAATAATTTATTTATAATAATAGATATGTTTGCAAGGAAGTTGATTGAATT